CTCACTGCAGGAGTGAGGGAGGTCTCCAAGGCAGGATGGCTGCCCCACAGAACGCAGCTTTTGTGGGTTGCAGACCCATACCAGAACCCTGTCTGCCCTCCTCTGACCCCCACGTCCTTTAAAATAAAGACATCATTCTCAATAGTGGCCAAAATAAGATTTCACAACAGTCCAGTGGAACTGCAATGAGGCACACGACGTATGGAAAATATGATAAAAAGGAACTGCATCTCTTTAATTTCAGATGCACATTGAGTTAGGGATATTTATGTGCTCTTAGCAGAACGTGTAACGGCTCAGATGAGGCAGCTACAAGGCCTCAAAAAGTTTCTTCAAACAACTGCTTGAAAAATTAACGTGAATAGAAAAACCATCTAAAACAGCTTTTCTATGAACTATTTCCCGATGCTCTGAGAACTTAAAGCACTACAACATAAGAAGAATGGCGCACCAACAGCCATGTAGCTTCATTATATAAAGGGTACAAAGTAAGCCATAATTGGCAAAGAGATGATAAATACATATTTTTTTATTTACTTCGGTAAAAAAAGAAGAGATTTGAAGCGATTGTGTTACGTGCATCTTTAACAGCATTCCTCTAGAAATAGCACTGTAACAGCTGAATTGAGGACTATGTGTTTAAAAGCACACCCAAGTCTAAGCTGCATGAAGACAGGTAATTGCAGATTAATATGCCACTGTAATACTTATACATGAGAGTGCTGAGTTAAAGTTGCCATGGGAAACAAGGCTGAATTTCTTCACTTTTCAGCAATTTGCCATCAACCTCAATACAGGTTTTGGCAGGTGATTTCTAACGCACAGAGCTTAACAGCTACACAAGAACCGTGCTAGCAGAAAGTTGCTGCAGGGGGATACCCAGGTAGAACAGACAGAGACCAACACATCTCCATTATCAGCCCTTCCAGGGGATGGGAGCAACCAGCTGCCTCGTGAGCCACCTCTGACAGTCCTACTCTGCCCTTTGTAAATCACCTGAAAGAAAGACTGGCTCTCATTTGTTCACGTGGTTTTGTGTTATGATCATACCTTATTTGTACACTTAAAAATAAATTAGTAACTGAACATTTGCATATTTGTAGTCTCGATGATTGCAGTTTATGTTGAAATGGTGAGCGACACTGTATTTATTAACAGGTGTGTCCAGTTTCGCTTGACATTTTTAATTAAAAGCACACGCACAAAGAGTCAAATATTAAAGGAACTTGAAACAAATAAGATACACTAAAGAAAGCTACTCAAATGTTTTTGTATTTAAACCATGCTGTTTAAGTGAGCGAGGAAGGTTATCATCTGCAATTCATTTATTTCTCTGCCTCTGGTCACAGCCTCCTTTAGCAGAGATCTGGCCATGTCATACCTTCAGAGCGAGAGGGAGGGGGGCATTTTTAATTCCCAGCTGATCAGCAAATCTGAGTGAACCCAAGACATGAAGTCAAATACTTGAAAACCGACCTGAACCAACAGTACCTTCACCACTGCCAAAAGTTCATTCAGCAGTGGAACAGCTTCTACCCCCAGCAACTTCCCCCAGGGCAGGGCCTGATGCCCTTCTGCACCACCTGGCAGCAGGGCACACAAGCTTAAAAAAATATTCATTTTTCATGAAAGTGTTTTTATGTATTACAGTAGAGGCTGACATCCCACGTAGGGGCCTAAATTCAAATTCAGGTATGAAAAGCTCTGATTTCTATGATTCTGTCAGACTTTTTTTTTTTTTTTAACCTTTAAGAAAATCATCACTTTTCATCCACTTGGCAGAAGCTGAAGACAAGCTGCAGGGCTTGCTGAGTAAATGGGACACAGCTCCTCAGGGCACTGCCAGCACAAGGGTACAGGCAGCTGCAGATCTGAGCCTGGGCAGCTCCTCAATACAGCACTGAAAGCAGGGGCCAAGATAAACAGCTGCATGCGAGGACAAAGGAACAGAGGAGCAAGCCTCCCACTTATTTGTGCATCTTCACTTGTGTATCTAAAGTACCATACATACCTACCCTTACGAGCTGACAGTGTACAGAAACAGGCACTTAAACTGTTAAACTGTTAGCAGGGGAAAGAGAAAGCAGCAGAGCTGAAGCTGACGGATGAAGCAAGCTGCCACTGCTGCAGGTCCAACTCCTGCTTGACACTGCTAGGCACTGGATCAAGTTCCAAACACGAGGTAAGCTTTGAAGAGATGCAAGGGAGCAGCCATAAACATCTCTTACTGCCAGCCCCTTGCTGACCTTTGGCTGGTTAAAACACTACATGACAGAGGCCGTGCCTCTATTCTTCCACTTTTCCCACTTATTCATCTGGGGCAATGCAGATAAACTCTCCACCTTCTTTTCTGTCTGGGATGGTCTCATCATTCATAAATAAATCTGTAAGCCAACCCTGCCCTTTTGTGCATTTAAACATGCACTTTGATTTGGGGGCATATCTGCTGAAAGCTATCAAGACAGGGAGATGACAAGGATGCAGGCTGATTGGCATGCTCTGTGCCACCAGCCCTGAGAGCACCTCTCCTCTGCAGACAAAGGGCAGAGACCACGGAAGTGGTGAAGCACAGGACAGCTGCCACATAGCCAGCAGTCACACCACAGATGGCTTCCCAGGGGAACACTGTTGTCCTTGACTCTCCTTGATCCCCTTTACAGATGCTGTGCCACAGAACCTTGGAAGGGACCAGAGAGCATGAAAGAGGATGGAAACGCAGGAGCTCTGAGTGAGAAGTGAGACGAGGCTGTCAGCTGCAGAGGAGCACATATAAGCAAATACAGAGGAAGGGGGAACAGACGTGGCAGTACATACCTTGGCATAGAGAAAAAGATAGCTCCTGCTGCTAAGGAGCTGGGATGTTTTGAAGAGTAGTCAGTGAGAAATGTGAAGTGTACCGCACAGTACAAGTGTGCTCTGCCAGACTTCCAGGCTGAGCTGGCTAAATTTACAGCTATGACTACCCACTGAATGTAACTTGGATCACGGCTTAGCTCTTTATGCAGCCTCCTCATCAAATTCTAGAGCATTTGGATTTCACTGTATCACTTACCACACTTCTATTTTGCAAGTAAGGAAACAAAAGCAGAAGAACCACGAGGATCACAGCTAAGATCAGAACCTGACCACTCCCAGGTCCGCTCTCATATTGCATCTCCAAAACCTGTGTGCCACTGCTTCACTGGAAAATACTGCCAGCAATACCTTGCACAAAAATCAGCATCACTGAAATACACAGCGCCGTTTGCTCACTCAGACATGTAGCCCTGCAATGACCAGAGCAACAGCCACATCAGCCAGCAAAAAGGTGAAACATAGGTAGGGGCATCAGCTAATAAAGGCTCTTTTCTGTAAAGCTGCCCAATTCCAGCAGGCAAATTCAGCCTTTTCAGTGACACCGATTCCCATGCAGTAAGAGCATTATTTATTTGTCAAACTCATTTGTTTGTGAGGACGTGAGGGCCTGACAGCCCTTACAGCACACAAGATATGATACAGACAGGCACAGAACAGAGCAGACAGAAGAAACAACGCCGAAGAACATCTCCACCTTAAAGGTGCAACAAAATATATAGCGGATCTGCATTGGCCCAGGCCATTACTTTCTCTGGCAAGGACTTGGGGACAAAGCTCCTTAAAACAGTAGTAATCATATTCCACTCATGCTCCTTTTTACTGCCAGCTGTAAACTAGCTCCACATGCATCATGGTTTTGCATCAAAATGTGCACGGACCAAGCCCATATCCAAAGGGACAAAGTAGATCCAATTTACAGCCTTGACAGATCTGTGCACCCGAGGCTGAGCGTGCAGGAAATAGCCTTACATCTCACTTGGAGAGCGGTTACAACCGCCAGCAGAGCGGGATGCAGAGCCACAACAGCCTCCCACAAAGACCCAGAATACAAGGAGAGAATGTGCAGTCCTTTTTGTCATGAAACAGGAGGGATGGGTGGCACTTGAGATGCCTACATCTGATCCCAACTCACAGCCCTCCTTTGGTAGATAAGCTCAAAGGAAGCCACAGCTGCACTGGGAAGCAAACCCATTGCACCAAGCCATCTCAGTAAAGAGATGCCACACTGATTTAGTATGTTTGAAGCAAAGCAAATCAAAGTAAATCTCAGACATGATGCACGAATTAGCAGTAGCATTAGTATGAGTATTAGTATCAGTACGAGTAGTATTACTTTTTGGTACAGAGGAGGGTACAAAGCCTGAGTTCAGCCTGGACACTAAGAAATTCTGTCCGTTACCAGCCCAATATTTCATCTCTTCTTTTTTGGCATGTTTTTTCCATTTAAGCAAGAAAACCTAGGCCCACACTGCTGATAACTGAACATATATTTAATTAACTTACTCTACGCTATGATGGAAGAACTGGCTGCAGAAATACATCCAAACCTCACCCAGATCTCTGCGTATCTCAGGAGGCCAGACACTGGCCAACCTTTCTGAGCAGCTCTGTTCCTGTCTCATTACACTCCAGAGTGAACACCCAGGCAAGATAATTTCAGCACCACCACACAGCTCAAAACCATTGTTCTCTGTTTAGAAACACCATTATTCTGCACACACTCATATCATCCAAATTGTGTTTTGCTTTTTTTTTTTTTTTAAAAAAATAAACCATTGGCTAATAATAGACCTTTTCCTTACAGAATCAAAGGTTGCTGAGAGCACTCTACTAATGCAGGTTCCCAGTCAGCAATTCTCAACCCCCCACCACTTCAGGCAGACAACAAGCATACATGACTAAGTAGCGTCTGTGATAACACGTGTTATCACTTCCATGGTGAAAATCAGGCTCCTTCATTTCATTTCCATCACAGCGACCTGGCACTGCTGCTTGAGAAAGCAGGAGCTCTGGGGGAGCAGCAGTAGAAAGAAGGTGGGAGAAAACAAGGAAAGTGAGCTATTCAGTACTGCATCTTTTCTTTCCATCTCTCAGAATGGCAGTATCAGCTTACAAGCACACAATTAACAGCGTCAACTATTTACCTGAGGATGAATCTGTGGTTTATCACATGTGGCCTCAAAATCCAGCACTAAGAAGTAGTGATATCTCTGTGGAGGGAAGGATGACATTGCTGCCATGGAAGCTCCAAAGCCGTGGGACGCCAGTTTCCTGCTTATGATGGAGCCGTACCCTTTGAGAAGAGGAGCAGGGAGGAGCAGGCACACAGCTTGTCTCGCCCTTGGAAGAAAGTGTTGGGGAAACTTTGCTGCTCCAGTATGGAGGAGTGCTATCATTGAACATCCAGAGGCATCTGAAACTGAAGAGAGATTCGTGTTACTCACACGCTCGCATCTCAGCGCTGTCAGCACCGCTCCATCGCACTCTGCCAGGGGTTTTCCTTGTGCTTCCCCGTGTGGCTTCCAGCACTGCCAACTAGAAGCAGCACAGCAGCCTGCACTAAGCACTATGGATGGAGCTCAAGGTAGCCTGAACCACATACACCTCGAGATCAACCCTCTGCAAACAGCTCTAAATGAGAAGCCACAGACAAAGCCGCCGTGGCTCCAGGCACCACATCACACAAACCTGCTGAGCCTTATCACAGCACAACACAAACTATTAATGCTTGAGAAGCTCAATCCAAAACCCACTGAAATTTCCAAGGAGGCTTTTGCCTTTTTGTATACAACACAACTTCTAATACACAGCAGGAACTAAAGGCAGCAAGCACACCTCAGCACCATGACCCCTCAAAGCAGCCTATCAGTCACACCGAGACCTCCCTGCTCCTACAGATCCAGGACTGAGGAACTGACCATGACAATGCCACCAGTCCACCCCGCTAAGCCAGCACGTGGGCACCCCTCCCAGCTCTGCTGGCTGACGGCAGCCACATCATCCCCCACACACAGCACAGCCCCTGTGGGGTGGAGGACACAGGGCACTGGCTCTGGGCACAGCCTGAGGTCCCACCCAGCCACGTGTACTCAATGCACGGAACGGGAAATGGAGCTCGCAGCCTGCGCACAAATGCACTATTTGCACAAAAGACAGCATTTGCTCTTCCCCATCCGTTAGTCCATCAGGTAAATAATGCACGTGCCAAAACACACACTTAATGAGGTAAATAATACGCCTTGAATAGCAGCTAAATCTGTATTTACCTGCGAGACCAGAGAAACTCGGAAGGACCAGATTAGGAGATAATTGCGGCTGAGCAGGTTGTGTGCTTCGGGTAAACACGCGCTCTGCAACCTCCCCTTACAGGGCCGGGGCCAGAGCAGCACCAGGCACAGCACAGCTGGGAAGCAGAGGTGCTGCGGGGCTCCCAGCACTGCCCACACTGCAAGCCCACAGTGTGAGCACTGCCACGCTTCAGACCTTCCACATTCTGGGGGGCTGCTCGCTGTGTTAGTGGTGTGCCAAGCAGCAGGTACTCAGCAAACTGAAAACTCAAGTTACAAAAGCATAATAAAGAGTTCCCCACAAGACCAACGTTGTATTTATCCCAAAGGGGCTCAAGCCCGACCTATTGCTTTTCCATCTACAGCTTTTACCGTCATTAATAAATGCATTAATGCACAATAGCAGTTAGTCACATTCACTTCTAACCGTCTCAAATAAGAGATACTTAAGGTGTACGTGCTTGAAATTTTCAGGCCTTCAGCTATGAATCTGAAGGTCCATCACTGTAACATCTCAGAATACAGCAGCATGTAAGTTAGTCATGGCAAAACCCGGCCTGTAGCCTGCTGCATAAAGCGAAATATACAGTTGGGATGGGGGAGGCAGGCAGACTCCAACCCCTATATCAAGCACAGGCAATAAAACACACCACGCTGTCCACCTACACAGCAAAATCAGCACTTCCCTCATGCATCTTCACCAGCATGGGCAGGGCATCGAACACGTGCAGTGTGAATCTTCAGGCCAGCCTGCAATGCACTGGCACTGTCAAACAGCTGGCATGGAGAGCCAACCAACACCTTCCCAGGCACTCCGTGCCCATCTAAGAGGGAGCTGAGCACTGAGCAAGGTGTGCAGGTGGAGCATTCCTTGCCGACTGCCCTATGCAGACAGCATACGAACAGGAGCAACCCTGCTGCACAGCCTGCACTCAGAGCCAAATGAAGTTTTAACTGCCTGTTTACCCAGCCATGCTCCTGGTGCCCTGGGAAGACCTTACATCATCTTCTCTGGGAAGGTCAGAGTGCCTCCGAGCACAAGATAGCTGTTGAGCAAACATGCTTTATTAGAAGTCATGTAAAGCATTTATAACTGCTGTGACGATGCGAGGCACGAGTAATTATCCCTTATTTCTCCCCCCTCTAAACAGGCAACAACCCAAGCAGTGCAGCTTCAGAAACCAGAAACCCTGCTCTGCGCACATAAATCCAGGTTGCATGATCCCATTTCCACACCTAAGCAAAAAAGCACGCCTATACTTCTCATGTACAGAGGGTGAGATTATCATCTCAGATAGTGCAAACTGCCACATCTGGCATCCAATCCTACTGGGTTAGTATTTCATATCACACAGCTCCAATTCCTTGCAGATATGTATGAAATATAAGGGGACCGTTGAGCTGCAGCTGGACTACAGGAATTGTTTTGACAGATTGTACACAGCCCTAGGAAAACGTGACAGCACGTTACAGTTGCAACACCCAATAACACAGGAAAGGGCCGTGTCTGGTGGGTTTCAGCTGAAGATAAAGTTAGCATTAGGTGCTGTGTAACACCTATCCACCAATGGTGAGATAGTAATGAACCTCAAGCCTGAGAACTTGAGCTCAACAGGCTCTCTGCAATGAACATTAATTTTTTCTTACAACTACATCTAATTAAAATCCTGGCAGCAAAAGAAGACATCTCTCCTTGCTTCTAACCCCAATATCCCCCACCGTAGTTGGAGACAAAAGAGGGGAAAAGACAAACTGTGCTTGGGTTGCCCCACCAAACTTAAAGGATGTATTTTAGAAAGCCTTCACTTACATGCTAAATGTAAAATGATTTTACCACAGCATATATATATATATATATATATATATATATATATGTATATGTATATGTATATGCATATATATATATATATATATGTATACATATATAATACAAATTTAGAAAGAACTAGAGACCAATACAAACAAAAATTGGAAAAATAAGAAAGAAAAGTAAGCAAGGAAGCTTTGGGAGTAATATGGGCCAGTTTATTTCCCGAGCAAAGCCCAGGCACAGGCAACTACGACTGCTGCTCTCTGGCAGACAGCTGAACTCAAGGCTAGAGCAACCAAAAGCGGTCCAAGATGCAAGTCAGACTCGTCTTTTATTGCTGTCTTATGTTCATAAATATAAAGGATAAAAAGACACAGCTATAAAGATGTATTTTGTAGAATAACATTGCATATGTTTAGCAACTCCTGGAACAGAGTATGATAAAAAGAAAAAAAGCAGGACTTCCAATTTGGGAGCTGCTCAAATGTGTACTCAGAGGTCAACTGTGAGACCATATTTCAGCTGCATGAAGATGTAACTGAAGAACAATAGAGAGAACTTTATAAAAAACAACAGCATTAACCTAAGAGAAAATATTTCATTGGAGGGACTACAGTCCAAAAAATGACACCACCTGGCTAGCCTGGGAGACAGGAAAGAAGGCTCAAGCACAAAACCAGCTCAGCTTATCTACTGCTGTCCAAACTCGCAAAAAAATAAAATAAAACACATACAGTAAAACAAACAACAAAACACAAAGCTTTTACAACCATTTTAATAATGTAACACGATTGTAGACAGGTAAGTTCTCTTCCTTAACGTGTTAACCTCACAGCATCATCCCTTGACCATCACTCCAGCATACCTTCATTCCAGCGCTCCATTTCTGGCTGGGTTTGTCTGCAGCACTGCTGGACAACCAAACCCATGTTTCAGAAAACTCACAACGTCACTTTCCCAGAGCACTCGGGATGCTCTGTGTTGTCCCAGCATTACCCATCAATAGCTACAACTTGGTATTAATCATCCTGCTTTGCAGAACTGTGCCCAGACTCTGCCCACTGTGCACACAGAGGTCCCTGTTCTCAAGAACTTACAGTCTAAACCTACATGTGATGCAGTGCAGGAGGATAACAGCAAAGAATGAGGGTTCCAGGGCAAACTACTTATCTGAGAGAGATGCACACCTCAGTGTTTGAATTAAAACCAACATGCTCATCGCATCACCCTGCCTGAGCATTACAGGAGAAGCAAGTGAACACAGAAGGGCTGATTACGAGATGGAGGGCACTCTTGGATTAAGAAAGTTCTCTGCCATTCCTTCAGCTCGCTCTTCCTGCTGCATTCCTCAGCTGCCATGGCAAAGGCCTGAGACACGTCAAAGCACCAGAATCTCTCAGAGTGAGAGATATGATGGTTTGGGTGATTTGAGGCAAAGAGAAGTCCTTCCTAAGGACACCACAGCCTATGAAGCTGGAAAACCAACCCATCTTGGCACGTGGGGTGACTCGGGGACACCTGCACCACGCAGACCACCCAGAAGTGCTCCCGAAGACACACAGTACAATTCCACTTTGATTTTATTAGGCCACCTCTGCCAGGCAACCCACTTTCGTCACCTCCTCGACTGGTCTCTTAAGACAGGTTTTGCTGGGTATTTTTAAACCTTCTCCAAGAGTAAGTGAGGATCGACAACAAGAGCTGAGCTGAAGTTGGAAGAAGCTCTGCTAGGTAAAGCATTGGTCACTTACAATAAATGCAGACGAGAAAAACGACAAATATTAAAACAAGCAGCAACAGCAGAGATGCATACAACAAAAGATTGGCAAGTTGCAGCAGAAGAGCAGATTCAGCATCAAGGAGTAGAGTTAAGAGATCCAGAACCCTCAAGCCCAGTCTTCCATCTCAGCGTAGGAGCCGCAACAAAATGCCCTGGGGTGAACCTAGACACAGCAGGGTTAACCAGCCCAATAGCTCTCAGAGGCCAGAAGGAGGCAGGCCCATATTCCCTCTCGCTCTTATTCTCCTGCTGATCATCTGACACCAGCCTTGAGCTAGTCAGGCCTCGCTGCGAGCAGATTCAACCACAGGAACCCATAAAATGGCTAATGCAGCCAGAATAAAACACAATTAAAACAAGATAGTTTCCTGCCGGCTTAGTGAGACGAAACAGCCTGGGGATGGGCTGGATGAGTGCCAAAGCTCTGAGGAGGGGATGCGCCCACACTGCCAGAGGCAGGAGGGAGATGAGCCAGTGGAGCTGCTCAGCCACACACCTGACCACGTGCTGCCTACGGCTGGGATGGCGTGGCAGGGCGCACAACGTGGAGAAGGCATCTTGGCTCTGGTAGCATAAACACGTAAAACGCAGAAGTCGGAAAGCCCACTGGGTCATCCTGTCTGAACCTCATGTAATGCAAGTCATAAAGTTCCCACTTCGTTACTTCTGAATTGAGCCCAAAGGCTCGAGCATCCTTCAGAAAAAAGTTTCTGGCCTTAAATGGCAGAATCCAACACAGAGGCTCCCCACTACCTCCAGACTGCTCGTTCCAATGGTCAATCAGTTCATTGTATAAAACAACAATTTTAGTTTTCATCCAAACTTTTCCAGCCCTGGATTTTGGAAAGAGTTCTGAAATTTATGGCATTTCAGTGCTCCCAGTGCCAAAAGTAAGACTTGTAGCTATGCCTGCAGTCAGTAAAAACTACTGCTGCTTACTGGCCTAATTTTGAGGAAAGGAGAAACACCAGGCTGGCCTTTGTTTAATGGAATCTAGCACGCACAATTACTTGATTTTCATACACGAGTACCTCAGTTGCTCAAACCACTTAAACAGCTGCACACCTTTCTTAGCTGAGAAAAAATGAATGTGAAAGTTAATATTTAAGAGTGCCAAACGAATCTCAGCCCAGATGCAGGGAGCCAACACTGACATCGCTTGGTATACGCTCACAGCTGATCTTCATAAATGAACTCTAGAAGTGTTTTTATTATTATTTTTAATAATGACAGAAATCTGCAACTCTGCCCAAGGTCTGCCTTGTTGGATGGACAAATCACAGAATCACACAGAATCACAGAATGGCCCAAGTTGGAAGGGACCTCAAAGATCATGAATCTCCAACCCTCCTGCCATGCAAGGTAGCAGCTACAAGAGGCTTTCCAAACAGCCCAGTCTCAGCAACCCCAGAAAACCAGCCAGGGAAGTTGTTAGGAAGATAAAAATTAAAAAAGAAAGCACAACCACAACAAATACAACAGAAGTTATTAATTGAAAAGAAAAAAAGCTATTTGGGAGCGAGGTGTCATTACTTGTGCAATGTGTCTGGAAAAAGCACAACCATTCAGCTGGCACTCAGTCAGCATAGGTAGCACTCTTAGGGGAAAGTTGCCAAATGGGATCTGGCAGCAGCAGCCAGCACTGCTGCTCTAGCACACGCTTCATATGCAACAGCTTGTCCTCTTCTCCCCCCATTCTCCTGCTTGCTGTTGCACCATGCTATCAGTCTATCACACTTAGAGTAAAACACCAGCAGTCGCTAGGATGAACGTTTCCAGCCACAACATGTGCTTCAGGTCCAGAGACAGGTGAAAGCCACACAGCCACTACGTGGTCTCCCATGTTCTCCCACGAGCACAGCCACCACAGCCAGCCCTACACCTGAGCACCGCCTGCAGCCTCCCTGCCCTTTACTGGGAGGAGGCCAATGGGTCAAATACAGCAGCAAAATCTTCATGCATTTCTGTATCTTCCAGAACTCTACTTCCAAAATTTTAAGGGGAAAAAAAAAACTAAAACAAAGGGATCCATTTGCAGAGCGGAAACTTAAGGTCACATAAAATCACTTCAGTGTGTACACAACCCAAGGACTTCTTTATTTAGCATCAGACACATCGGCATGTTGGGTTTTTCGCTTTTATTTTTTTTAAGGCTTTAATGGGTTTCTTCTGGATTTCGGTAATACTCAAATCTGTTTGGCTACATATTCTTTTTTTTTTTTTCCCCCTTTGGAAAACAACAGACTTGCTGTTCACGAAGAGCAACTCGAAATTTGAAAGAAACAAGAAGCATAGAAGGGCCACGCTTTGAAACAAGACAGGAATTGAGTCCACACAGTAAATTAACATCAACATTCAGCAACAAAAAACAGAACTCAGTACTTCAAAGAGAAACAAAAATATCTGACATCCAACTTCCCAAGCCCACACAATGAAGAGTAACCAACTAGATCTCTAAGGCATTATTTATTTTAAGAACAGTTCATTCTAGGAATAATAACTCATATGCCAACTTTATACTAAAGCGATGAGATGCCACAACGCCACAAAGAGCAATTCAATGATAAAGTCAAGTCAAGTTGCCATTCAAAGTTGTATCTATAAACAATTGCCTGGCAGCACCCAGTGGGCCATGGCCTGCTCTGAGCCCTGCACACCTCTCCCAAGGCACAGCACAAGCACTAACCAAGCGGAGAACCCCCTGCTCCCTGTGCCGCAGCTGGAAGAACACTTAAGAGTTCAGGCCAAGCAGTAGCTATCCATTCATCCATCCACCCACAGCCGGGACCAAAGCTCAATAAGAAAGCGGAGCAAATGCAGAAGAGGTAAAATAAGTGCCAGACTTCAGCAAGTAGGCCAGCAACGACCACATAAATCCACAAGACACAGACTTGCAAACGGCAGAACATGAGGAAAAAGGGACATCATCATTTCAAGTGCCTCACTTTAGAAAAAACACCTGTAATGGGGCAGCAGCAAAGAAAGAACAGGAGAAAAAAATCCTACTGCCAGCAAGGGACGAGCAAACAGCCCCGGCAGCCCCTCCAAGTTCACTTCAGAGGCTCCGGGTCCGAAAGACGGACGCTTCTATCCCACCAGAAGAACCCCCACCCTCCCGCCCCCCACCGCCCTACCCGCCCACCCCCACATCCCACCCGGGCTCGCCCTGCAGCGCACGCCGCTTCCCCTCCCGAGGCTCCGGCAGCGGCCGCTCCCACCCGGCCCGGGAGCGCTCGAAGAGCGGTGAGGAGCGGAGCCGGAGCCCGGCCTCGAGCGGCCGACGCTCCGCCACGCCGCCCCACGCTGGCCCCGCGGCCTCCCCGGCCCTGCCGCTTCGCCTTCCCGGCCCCGAGCCGCGCTCCCCGCCCTGCTCCCGGCCGCGGTACCGCCTCATCCCCCCCGCAGGCCTCGCCGCCGTCGCCGCGTAGGACCGGGCCGCGGCTTCCCCGGCAGTCGGGCCTCCACCCCCCGCCCCGGGCCAGGGCGGCCCCACGCCTCCCTCCGGGCCCGCCCGGCCCCCGCGCCGGCCCGGCCCCGCCACCGCCCGCGGCCCGGCGGCGCCGCGCCCCGCTCCCGTCCCCCCGCCCGAGCCGGGGCCGCCCCGGGCCGGCCGTGCCCCCCCGCCCCGCACGCGCTCCGCACCACGAGTCCCCAACGCCGCCGCTCACCTCCGCGCACTCTGACCCCCGACCCCGCTCTGAGCGGCGGCGCCGCCGGCCAACCGCAGCGCCGCCTGCCGCCGCCGGGGGCGGGGCTTCCTCCCCACCGCGCCCTTCTGCGCAGGCGCAAAGCCGCGGCCGCGACGCGGGGCACGCCGGGGGTCGTAGTTCGGCGCCGCCGCGCCGCCCCCCTGCCCGGTCCCGCCGCGTGGCTGCGTCTCGGCGCCGCCGTGTCACCGTGCCCGCCCCCCTCTCGGGGACGGCTCCGGCCGCCGCCGGCCTCCCCGCCCTCCCCGCCTCCTGATGGCACCGGGACGCCTCCTCGCACCCCGGGGGTGAGGCGACGCTGCGTCACCAGCCGTCACCCTCCTCCCCAGCGGCCGCTTTCCTCGGGTCCCCAAGTGCCCCCTCCCGTGTCCTCCGCAGGGACCGCCGCGGGACCCTTTTGTCTCGAAGTCCCGCGTATTTCCCCATTTTGTCACCAAAAAATGCCTCATGTCCCCACTGCGGGTCCCCAAGTGCCACCTCCCATGTGATATAATCACAGAATCATTAAGGTTGGAAAAGAAATCTCGCATCACCCAGCCCAACCCCAACCCACCACGCCCACTGACCACATCCCTCAGTGCCACATCCCCTGGGCGTGGAACAGCTCCAGGGGCGGTGACCCCACCTCATCTTCAGGCAGCCGCATCACCGCTCCATGGGAGAACGAATTGTTCCCAGTATCCAGCCTGAACCCCCTGCCCCTGCTGGCTGCACTATTGCTGATACAAGCCGGGATGCTGTTGGCCCTCTTGCCCACCTGGGCAAACTGTTGGCTCGTGTTCAGCCTCTATCAACCGACAACCCCAGATCTTTTTCCTACACACAGCTCTCTGCCACTCTACCCTAAGCACATCTTACATCAGCTTGTTGGCTCTTCAGGCTCCATTTCTCCTTTTTTGCTCTGTCTGCAGGCTTGAACTTCAGAGGCCTGAACCGTGTCACACAATCAGCAAACCATTTAATAATATGAAGAGTTCCTTTAAGTCCTCTTAGATTTGGCATCTCTTAGCCTCCCTCCCACACAAGCAAGCTCTGCTTCTGAGCTCAGCTGTGCTTCTGCAACTTGTCGAGCCTTTGGTGACTGATGTACAGCTTGACAAGGAGCACAGAGGATCAGATATAGGGCTTTTCCAGTGTGGCGTTCCTTGAGCGATCCGTAAGTGCCCTCTGCCAGTCCTTCCTCGTCAGTGATGGGAGCTGGCAGTGACGTGCTGGAAATGAACCTGCAGCCCCAAGGCTGGAAATTTAGGACTCACAGCCTGCCTGCGAGTGTTGCTAGTAGGATGAGAGAGGAAGCCTTTCATGGCTGACCTCTAGAAGTAGCAGTAAAAAATATTTTTTTCTCTGTCTAGACAAAAAATCAATGGCTCAAAGATGTGTACAGGTCCCTTTTTCATCAGCCAAGCTTGTGCTGTTTCCCAGGCTTGTTTCCCATTGCCCTTTCTGTATAGTGGGAACTTCTTTCCCTCACTGAGGTTTGAAATAAGGGGGGAGGGGGCACATCTAGCCCTGCTAACCTCAGTGTCCCCCCTTTATGAGTCTGTATGAGTCGTACCTCAACAGTGTGGGACACCAATGCAATTACCATCACCAATCACACTTCCAAAGAGTTCCTTTCTCCATCACAGCTCTCAGAATCTGGAGAAGGACCTCTTTGGAAGGTGTGCCAATCCCACTATCTCAGTGCCAAGGACCAGCATAGCAAGCCTTCCGTCAGCCCAAGAAAGGGCAGTAGTTTTTCAGCAGCAGGTCTAGCATCTTAATTGCTTGTCGTACTTTAGAGGTTTTGGAATGGCTACAAGCAACACAGAGGAAATAGACTGGACCCATTTTGGCCGTCCCAGTCAATTCTTCAAGCTCCAGATGGAAAGGTCAACCCAAAGCCTCCAGCTGTGCACCCCTTTTGCAGATGGATCCCCAGTGCAGTAGCATGGTCCAGAGCTATAACTTTAATTTGCTTTAGGAACCTGACAGCTCCCTAACAAAACATCACTTTGCTCTGCACAGCTGTGCATCCACCTCTGGGCTGACGGATGGACGGGGCTTTGAGAAGAGCAGGGCAGGCGAGGCAGGAAAACGGGACAAATCCCACACACTGCACACTTTTTAACACTGTGGGATTTTATAGGGTTATGGCATTAAAAGCATCGCCTCGTTTTAAAGCCAGCTCCTTTAGTTCCGTTCAGTCGCTTGTGCTGAATGCAACTTTAAATGCCTTGCAATACAAATGACAAGTAGTCCTGTATCACTGTTTTCTACTTAACAAGTTAATAATGTGCCAATCCAAATCCTTCAGTTACTAACGCCACCGGCGGGACTCATTAAGCAACGTGAACACATATTTAAGGGAATACTAATATTCACAATGTACATTTTTATATTCATGTTGTCATTCTTGAAACCACAGTGCAGTTCATGTGCTCTGCTAAAACATTTGTTTGCAGAGGATTGCTCTCTCCCCTTTTCTCCGAACACGTTTTCTGCCATTGTGGTGAATGATATTAATGACAGCTTGTCATCATGGAAAGCTATTCCTAGCTGTCAATTAAAGGGTGTTCTGAAAGAAAGAGGCTCGTTCAGCCCCAAGGGAGCAAGTGTGTCTCATTGTGTGGCAGTGACCCCCTGATGGATTTGGGAACAGCAGCTCGGTGCGGTCAGGAGGTTCACACACACAGCACAGGGCTCGTGGGTGATAAAGACACAGGTTTTAAAGGTGCTAAGGTCTTCAGCCTAGGAAAGGCAAAATAGGATTTCAGATCATAAAAGCCCTCCACACATGGGAATATCAGCCAGAAAAGTTGTCCTAGGGATACTGAGTGCGTTGCTCCACCGTGTAATGTGATTTGCCACCCAGCATCCTAGTCCATTTACCAACATCCACCTACAGATGCATTGGTTTACTTGTCTGCACTGACCTGGCTGAGCGGTTCCTTCAGGTCTTCTCTTCCTGGAAGATGGAAGACCTTCTCTAATTCCAAAACAACACGCATTCACAGCTAGTTTGCACTCATTTGCTCTGGCAGGATGGGCCTGGCTTTAACCTGGCTTTGCTTCATTTGGTATATTTCTAGGTAGCTCTCAGATTCTGGTTGTCCTTGTCCTTTTTGTTTCGTGTGGTAACAAAACCTGTTGTTCTCATCTCTCCTTGCCTTCCCATGTCCCACACCACTTCAGCAGACCCCCTCTGCACCTGTTCCAGTTTCAATTAAATTTTCTTGATCACAAGTGCCCAGACTGGAATGTGGTATTCCTGAGCTGGGCTCCAAGGCCTCATACCATATTTGTCACATGATCCTATAAATATATTTCATATAAACAAGCTTGATTTCTGTTTTTCCCCCCTCAACAGGGTGGTCCACTCTCAGGGCTTTCTTGTTTCTTTTATTTTCCTAAGCACTCCTCGCACAGTAATAAAAATGTACAGACTCAGTGGGGATCTGTTTTAACTTCAAATGTGCTGATTCAGTTCAAAAACCATTAATTCAGCCGGAATCAGGGCCGTGGGGTGGAAATCCCTTTCCAGTTAAAACAGTTAAAACAGAGCCTTTGGCAGGCTGAGAAATAAAGTGCATTGAAAAGCATGGCTCTGAGGGACACGGGTTATGGGCATGGTAGTGATGGGTTGGTCCTTGGACTGGATGACCTTAGAGGTCTTTTCCGAGTTTTGATTCTATGAACATATCAGGGAGTCAGAAAATGGGCGCTGACTGAACTGCATTAGCAGAGCATGAAGCAGCCCTGGGTATCTCAGACCAGCACTGGGTTCTCCAGCCTGTGTTTTGTTGGGTTGGATTAGATGATTGCAGAGGTTTCCACAAGACCCCAGGTTGGCTGAGCAGGCACGATGCTGTGTGGAGTTGCCCAGACAAACCGGTCCTTTCTTCAAAACAACCCTGTTATTCACAAGCATCAGAGGATACACTAAAATGTGAAGAGCAAACACGGAGCTGTGCAGTCTGTGGTCTTGATGGATTACAGGAGTTAAAGGGCGTTGGGATGTGACAATGATTTGTAAAACAGATAAACACAGGGTTCTTTGTAGAGGAGGCATGCTGAATAATCCCATCCGGTGATGCGCTGGCACAGGCTGCCAGCGAGGTGGTGGGGTCACCGTTCCTGAAGGCGTCCAAGGAAGGTGGAGATGTGGCACAGAGGGACATGATCAGTCGGCATGGTGGCATTTGGGCTTGGTGTTTTTAGAGGTCTTTTCCAGTCTTCATGATTCTGTGGTTCTATGATTCTCTGATCCACTTCCCAGATCCTTGCCATTTCCAAGTTCCAGCTCCATGTGCTTCACTTTTCCTACACGTAGCCTGGCGTGAGCTGCTTCCATGCATGCTGCAAGCAGTCAGTGCACAGACCCACTTCGTTAGCACGTGGCCTTGTTGAGGTGCTGACGATGTGAGTGTGGGCTGCGTATGGGTCAGTGTCTGGTGCGACCGCTGCAGGCCACCAGGCATCTGACTAAAGGAACACTTGGCTGAGCCAGAGCATCAGGAGAAGTTTCTCCAGGCAGTGATGCACTAAATATTTGGACCCAAGAAGTACAAAGAGGGACAAGCAGTGATGTCAATTTACTAAAGAAATAAAACCTTTTTACATCATTATTGTGTATCATAAAAGCCTTGTGCTCACGCTGTATACTTAATCTCGATATTCCAGTGCCATCCACAAAAAAATGCAGGCTTAACCCTCACAGTTTATATTGTCACCATAAACGCCGGTAAAAAAAATATTGTACAGTTGGGTGCAGTTTATTCTTTATATTTTAATGGCTATAGCAAAACTCCATCGCTAACTAGTAAAAAATAAAAATAAAAAAAAATAAAAAGCTGAATGTGTTTTACTGCTATGCCGTCATGGGAAAGCTGTATTTCAAAGTGAGGGCATCAGCACCAACGAAACGGGACGTTTTTAAGCATTTTAAACATTTTTAATGGGACGTTAAAAAAAAAAAAAAGAAAAAAAAAAAAAAACATTTCAGCAAAATCTTTTTGCCAGTATTTTAGCTAATAGGGTTGCAGTGCATAAAGGACGCCTGCACAGGCCACCCAAT